TGAGCTGCTGGCCGCCCAGGGCACCCTGGAGCTGCAGGCGGAGATCCTGCCCCGCCGGCCGCCCACTCCCGAGCCTCAGAGCGAAGAGGAGAGGTCCGACGAGGAGCCCGAGGCCCAAGAGGAGAAAGAGGAAAAGTGAGGCCCTGGAGGGAGCAGCGAGGGGAGGTGGGACTCAGGAGCAGGCGAGGCGGAGGGAGGGAAGAGAGCACCACCCTCACCCTTCACTCCTTGCCCACCCGTCCCAGGCCGCACGTGCCCACAGAATTTGACTTCGATGATGAGCCGATGACGCCCAAGGACTCCCTGATTGACCGGAGACGCACTCCAGGTACGGACAGGAGGGCGGGCGGGGGTGAAGGGGTTCTGCTCCCACGTACCCAGAAAGTGACTCTCCAAGAGGCCGGTGTCTGGTGCCTTGGTTGTTCTACAACTTGCTGCTGCAGGGGAGCGCGTTCACACAGGGGCGCCATCCTTCCAGCTTAAACCAGTGGTTCTCAACCTCGGCTGCACATTAGAATCACCTGGGAATCTTTTTAAAATCCTGATTTCTGGGCCTCACCCTCCGGAAATTCTGTTTCTCTGTGATGGGGTGGGGCCACAACATTGGTAACAAAGAAACAGAATTTCCGGCGGATGAGGCCCAGAAATCAGGATTTTAAAAAGATTCACAGGTGATTCTAATGTGCAGCCAAGGTTGAGAACCACTGGCTTAAACCCATAACCCTATATTCCTTTAAGAGAATTCCACAGGTAATTCTATCATGGCTCCCATTTCCTTTCTCTCCGTTCTCCCCAGAAGTCCAGGTCTTCCCGGTCATTCGTTATTATCTAGGTTCACACCCGTGTCCCCCTGTGTATGTCTCCTAACCTGACCCTGTTTTCACCCTTATGCCTTCCTAGAATTTACCCGTAGAGCCATTCCTGATTTCTCTTTCTCTTACTCCAACATTCAAGCCAGCAGCAGCAGCAAGTCCAGTAGCTCTGCCTCCACATTTCGAGGTTCATCTGCAACTTTCAACACCATCCGCTCATCCCAGCCACCATCTCGTCTGAGTTGCAATAGCACCTTACTGATCTCTCTGCCTCCCATCTCAGTGACTAGAATGATCCTTTTAGAACATAAATCATGTCACTTCTCTGTCTAACATCCTCCAAAGGTTTCCATTGCTGGGGAGAGAGGGGAGAGCGTGTTGAGAGAGTATCAACCCCCACCAAGGCTTCCAAAGGCATTTCCATCTAAAATAAGATCCAAACCCCTTATCGTGGCCTCCACCTCATTTCTTTGGCCTCGTCTTTCATGTGTCCCCAGCTCTCTACACTCTTTGGACAGACCTCCCTGTTTCTACCTGGGGCCTTTGCACTGCCCTCCGCGGCCCGAGGTGGTCTTCCCTGCTGATCCCCAAGCGCATGGCCTCACCCCCCTCCACATTTCTCACCTCCCCTTCTCCAGGAAGCTCAGCCCGGAGCCAGAAACGGGAAGCCCGCCTGGACAAAGTCCTCTCAGACGTGAAGCGACACAAGAAGCTGGAGGAGCAGATCCTTCGTACTGGCAGGGACCTGTTCAGCCTGGACTCAGGGGACCCCAGTCCCCCCAGCCCCCCGCCGCGGTCCTCAGGGAGCAGTCTCTTCCCCCGGCAGCGGAAGTACTGACTGTGCTGCCTTAGGCTGCGGTGTGTGTGCCTGCTGGGGCCTAGGCCTGCCTTCCCTAACCCTGGATGCTGGGGAACGTGGAGAGAGGAGGGAAACTCCAAAGCCCCAACACAGCACCCCGCCAGTGAGAGGGCGTGTGTGTGTTTATGTTTTCTGTTGAATCTGTTTGGAGATCTGGCCTGAAATTTCTGAATCTAAAATAAAAAATACAGAGTCATCCCCTCTTAGAAGAGGGGCTGCAGCTGGAGCCTAACAGTTGGGAAGGCATCATTGTCTTCACCCAGGTTGGGAAGTTAGCGGTGAACTCATCCACACCTGTCTTCAGTCCTCTGACCTTGCCCACTCGCTTTCCAGTGAGACCAGCTGGTTCTGTGGCAGAAATTCCCGAGTTAAATGAGCTGCAGTGCCTGCAGCTGCGGTGAAAGCCGCCCAGAGGAGAAAAGGAGCAGCAGCTGCAAGGGCCCTTTAAATGCCTAAGCCCCACCCTGAGCCTGCCCTGCCCCGTGCTGTGCCGAGCTACCGGGAAGTGATCCCTGGGGCTGGGTTCCTGCTTTCCCCAGTCTGAGGAGTCACTGCAGTCAGCCACACTTCTAGATGTGAGTACTGAGCACGGCCCCAACACCCCGAGTCAGTGTAGGGCCTGTGTCACTCGGGGCTCTTTCCAGCCTGTCCTGCCTTTCAGAGCCTTCTGTTAGGGCAGTGAGACCCTCTGAAGCAGAGTAGGGAGCAGTGGGTGGAAGCTTGGCCTTTAGAGATTTTGTTTTCCTTGTTGGAGTTCTTTTCTGTCTTTTGAAGTAAAAATAGATCAATTTGTCACCTTGCCAACACCCCTCACCTCCAAAATCTTGGGCCTCCCTAACTTCAAGCTCCCACATCAGCAGTAAGGCCAGAGGAAGCTTAAGGGATCCATTCACTCCCTCCTAGGATTAGATTGGGCCCTGCTGTATTCATGGGCCTCCTCGCCCCACCCCCCCCAGGGGGCCTGGGCTCTGGCCTGTCCCTAGAGTCCTTGGAATGTGATTTGTCCCCATTGAGATCCCTTAACTTTGCCAAATGTTGAGGTTTTCAGACCATCCCACTCGGGGCTATGCCAACTGTGGGCTTTGCAGATCACTTGAGACGCCATTAGCAGAGCGATCTCGAGGCTTCATCCCAGAAGGAGTGGGGTTGGATGAGCACAGCTTGCTCTCTCCATGTGAGGGGAAGTGGGAAACGGGAAGCTCTGGGCCCACAGATCTCAGGAGTGAAGCATGGAGGGGCGGGGATGGGGGTTGAGACCGATGTCCTGTGTTTTGCTGTCTGCCTAGGTGGACCCCAGGCTTAGGGGGAAAGGTTGGCTGTCGAGAGGGGTGCCAGCTGACTCCCTGGGAACGCCTGCCTGTTTCTCCCCTTGGCACACAGGGCACCCAGCCTGCCCTGGAGTGGCGCTCCCTGGGCAGGGCACTCTCCAAAGCCATGAGCAGGCAGGAATACCTCAGGCCGTTTTGTTGGGTGCTGCCCTCTCAGGTGGCAGAGAATGCTCACCTTTGAACTGCCATTGGCACTGTTCCCCGGGAGCACCCAGCCCCACCCAAGCCCTTGTTCTGGGTCTTATTGACATTTATGCCTGAGAAGCCAAGCTGCCTCCTGGCTGGGGGCTCTGCAGTCCAGGCCCCTGGGGTGGAACTCTGGCTTCGGCCTTTGATCGTTCTGTGATCCTCAGCAAGTTCCTTAGCTTCCAGGTTCTTGTGAGGAGGAAAGGAGTTAATTAAAGGTACTTAACGCCATGCCTGACACAGATTAAGTTCTTAATAATGAATGATGGGAGCTGTTATTCAGGGGAACTAGCCGATGGCATAGGTTCCAGAGTCTCCCGGGAACCTCTGCCCATTGGGTCTGGGGTGAGACCTGGGAGCACTAGCAGCTGAGTCCTCCAACGACAAATTTAGAAAACATTGACCTGGACTGGGTTCTGAAGCCGGTTCCTGGGTCACTCCTAATCTAGGCGACCCTTACCTTCAGTGATTGGCATTCACTGGCAGCATGCGGGAGGGCGATGGAGGTAGGACAAGAGGCACCTGAGCTGCTGCTCCTCCCACAAAGTGGCCTAGCTGGGCTGGAGCTCAGGAAGATTTTCCTAGGAAGAAAAGTCCCTAAAGTTCTGCTGCTAAATGGTTTACGTGAGACAAATCCTCCAGAATTTCCGCTGTCGTCCCCTAGAGCGGGAAGTAATCCCCTAAGCCAGGAAGCGGTCTGGGAGAGAGGTGCCTGAGTGAGACTGATTCTCCAACAAAGACTAGAACGTTGAAATTTGGTAAAGGAAATGGGAAGATGAGCCCCTGTTTGGGCTGCACTTCGCGTGCAATTGTCTAAGCTTGATAGAGGTGATGGTGGCGAGGCTGAATCACGGCCTCACCTCCAGCTGCAGGCCTGCTGGACCCAGAGCCCAGGCCTTAGGATTGGGGGCTTTTGTTGGCTAGGGGCTGCTTGGCCTGGGGGTGAGAGGCTGGAGGGCACTTGGCCTGGGGGCGAGGGGCTAGGGGCTACTTGGCCTGGGGGTGAGGGGCT